TTATTTTTCCAAAAGACACAAGTTGAATAGTCAGTTTAGGTCTAGATCTTATGTGTCAATTTAAATCTATTTCACAAAATGGACATCAATCAATAGTGACTTTTAGCCTGTTATCTTTGGTGAATTTATTCAATTAAATGTCCAAAAAATTACTTCCTATTCATTTATCAATATAATAGTTTTAATATAAGTGTGAAAGGCTTGATATTTAAGAGAATTTGCAATTTCAGTGCCAAATAATGTTTTTTTTTCCATACTTTCTCTTTTAAAAGCAAACACGGCAGACACTTCAACCCCTAAATTTATTGCCTTTTGTTATATCTTAATATTGTTTTGTCTTTGTATAATATTGGGTTGATGGAAGATCTTTGATAGTCTCTTCCACAAATATTCAAACTTTTTTTTACTCTGGACGATTTAGATCTTGACTTATTTCATAAACATATATACCTTCTGTTGACGACCTTAAGTTTGTTTCTATATGTCTATAATAATTGTTTTTTAATTGTGTTGTTGAGTTACTGTCGCAGTGCCGTATACTGAAAAACTCTTTTAAAATTAATGTTAAAATTATCATACAATACAGTACATGTTACTTTGGTCAATACTACTTTGGAATTTTTGGTCCTCAATGCTCTTCAACTTCGTACTTTATTTGGCCTTTTTAACTTTGTTTTATTCGAGCGTCACTGATGAGTCTTTTGTAGACAAAACGCGCGTCTGGCGGAAACACAAAATTTCAATCCTGGTATCTATGATGAGTTTATTTGCATGTGATACCATTAATGTTCTGTCTAAAAGATGTTTTTTCATTCGTTTTGAGTATTTTCAACATTACATGAAATTCAGATGCATCATGACAGCTGCAAAATGATCATAAGGAACTATTTTGTTTGTTTTCAGAACAAGCACGTTCTGTATTATTTGAACTAATTTACATGTGAACCCTAGCTATCAGTAACATGTAAAAAAAATGGTACATTGTAAAATAAGAAAGGTTATATATACTAGTTCTGGTTTTTTTTTCCTTAAAGGAAACACTGATTACTATTGATGGAAGATATTTGCTCAACACAGAGGAGGATGATACAAAAAGGACAATCAAAATTCATTAGTCAAAAATAACTAACAAAACCATGACAAACAAAAACATAGGAAAGTTACAAACAACAGTCTTCAAAACACTATACCACAGAAAACTAATGATTGAGCAACACAACCCCTATAATAATCGGGATTAACCTCCTCATCCCCAAAATGGTAAGCAGATCCTGCTCCACATGTGACACCCATCGTGTTGATCATCGTAAGTAAAATTTCGGTGATAAGTCGACTTCAGAAAATCAAATCTAAATGTCTTCAAAACTTTAGTAATTAAAATAAGGACTATTTACAGCTTAACATAGTGTTAAGACACAATGTTATTGTTGAAGACATTGCTATGGTTAAGTATCTTAAACATAAATTAAACGTATTAAATGAACAAAATCTTCATAATTTGCGTGCGCCCAAGGCGTTTTTCTGTATTTACCTACATCTGGAATGCTCAACTCTAAACAATATGAAGCCAAAGTTAAATATGTAGTTAGAAACGTTAGGAGCTATGATCAAATGGGAAATCTAGCTTAAGGATTAGCTGTTTATTTTTGCATCGCCTATAGTGAATGCATAGTGTGGTTGACCTAAACTAAAATATCAAGTTCCAGAATGGACAAAAGTACTAAACGGCGATCAATTATAATTTGTGTCTGCGCATTGACACTACTTGATCAACTTCACTTTTTCCACAGTCAGATGAAGAGAAAAAAAATGTTGTGCTCCATCCCATCTTGTTCATCAGTGTTTCAAATGAAACGTATGCAATCGTATAGTTTTGGGTTTTGAGTGCTAGCTGCAATGTTGCTGTCTCATTGAAGTATACTGCATATTTTCTTTTAATATTAGTAATGTGGTCCCGAATGGAGCATTACTGGTAGAAGGGTCGATGTTGGTCTATTGTGAATAGTACTATAATGTTGAAAAGGTAAAACAAAAACCTTCAAAAGCATGGTGGAAAACTTCTCTCCGGTTTTCTTATTTTTCTCCCGGTTTTTCATAACACATCGTAAGGAAGCATACGATTTCCGGCAGTTTGTTGTATCTAAATATACCAAATAAGAGCATGCAAATTCCTGCAAATAAGTATGTCTGATTGACGAAAAGTATGGTGAGAACTAGCGTAACAAGGTCATATTTTTCTCAGACTATTTATGACGTCTTTAATCTAAATCCGTTGCATGCGTACTGATTTATACTTTTATCTGAGAAAACATTAATTATTTATTAGTTGTAGTTGTCTTTGAACTAGCTCTCAGTAACTGCGAGTACTCTTATATCTGTGCTTTTTATTCGTAAATTTTTTTCGTATAATTTAGGCTGTTAGTTTCGTGGTTTTAATTGTTTCATATTTTCATGTCAGGTAATGTTATATAGCCGAATATACGTATGGGTTTTTCTCTTTTTTGAAGGCCGTACACTGACCCTTTAAGGTGGTACCCAACACCTTGACTAATACTAATTTGGCTCGTTTAATTTTCATAAAATTTTGACAAAATGTTTACTTTGACCCTTTGACAAAAATATAAAAATTTCAAAAAATTTGAACCAACCACTTTATCAGAAAAATTTCATTGGTTATATAGCAGTTTGACAAACACTAATTTTGATCATTGAGAAGCTTAATATTTTCTTAACAATACAACGTAATTAAAACGTTTAGCTGATTTTTACAGAGTTATCTCCCTGTAGTGTTAGGTACCACCTTAATGTCTTATTTTCACGTATTTAAACTCTGGTGGATAGTTGTCTGATAAAGTTATTGATAAAGCAATTTGAGATCATAAATATAGATTGTTGTTTATGTAAAAGAACTTAAAACATTCAAATTTAGCAGCACTAAACTAATGAGGATAAATCTTACTTCTTTTAGGTATTATTATTGGAGGAGTTGTGTGTGGATTAATAGTCCTAGTTGTTATTTCTATTGTACTGGTAATTTTTAAGAAAAGGTATTATCATGACAGCAAATATCTAAAACGCACACACACACATAAAATGAAATACGTTGAATTGTCAGAAAACTTCTGGTTGATATTGATATTGTTTTAAATTTTCAGTTTTAGCTTTCCAAAAAACCAAACCTAAGAAAATTAAATTAATAGTAAAAATTTTTAAAAAAAAACATAATATTCTGGTTATTGTAATCTTGAAACGGTATCATACAATCAACGAAAACCAACACCATCTATTATTAAAGATTATATTTGCAAGTTTCTTTATCGATCATATGGACAAAGCAATAAAATAAAATTTTAGTCTTAATGAATTGCATACTTATATTATTAAAACATGATACTTGTTTAATTGCATTTCTATTTTGTAAATTATTTTTTAGATCAGTTTCTATATGTAGACTGAAAAGTGATGTAAGTGTGACGGAAGAACTTTCGAATAACGCATCCGCGTCCGACGAAGGTGGTTTAGATAATTATGACGATATTGAAAATCAGACGAATAGAATTGATTATTTCAGTTCTCAAAATAGAGTGAATTCTTCTCATTTACTTTATTGTGAAAACGTACATACTGAAAAGATACAGAGTGGTGGAAATGATGAAAATAACACATGTGAAAATGGTTCTGATCATGAACTTATTGACGAAGATGTCAAACAATCTGGTAAACAGAATCATTATGAAACTAGTTCTCGTGTCAACACTGCTTTATCGAGCAAACTAGAGGGTGGTTCCGATTGTATTGACAGCTTACATTATGCACAAGATAGAAAAATGAGTACTGCAAGCATTGACTGTAGTTCGGATTTTCTTGAAGTTTCGAATTCATAAACAAAGAAATAGTCACTGAGTGGATTGGGTTGTTCCATATTACCTTTGTTGTGATAATAATTTTTATTTTTACTTTGGAGGCAAAATAAATGAAAGAACCTTAGTGAGCACGCTCACATACCCCACGTCCCCACATTGTCATTGGAGAAATAAAATAAGTGTAAGAAAAAAAATTGTATCAGAAAAAAAAAAATGAATCATAATTTCCTGTCAATATGCACATCTACATAGTATGTCCTTATTATCTACACAGTTTCATGAAATTCTGTTGTGTGGTTTGAGAGGAGTTGCGATGACAAAAGGTTGCAGTAGTATATTGGGCAAATAAGTTCAAAGGGGCGTAACTCCTGGAAAAAAATTGAATCGTAATTTCCTGTCGATATGCACATCTACGTAGTATGCACATCTACGTAGTATGTCCTTAATATCTGAAAAGGTTTCATGAAATTCTGTTGTGTGGTTTGAGAGGAGTTGCGATGACAAAAGGTTGCAGTAGTATATTGGGCAAATAAGTTCAAAGGGGCGTAACTCCTGGAAATCGTAATTTCCTGTCGATATGCACATCTTCGTAGTATGTCCTTATTATCTGAAAAGGTTTCATGAAATTCTGTTGTGTGGTTTGAGAGGAGTTGCGATGACAAACTGTTGCAGTAGTACATTAAAGTAAATAAGGTCAAAGGGGCGTACATGTAACTCCTAGAAAAAAAATTGAATCGCAATTTCCTGTTGATATGCACAACTGCATAGTATGTCCTTATTATCTAAAAAGGTTTCGTGAAATTCTGTTGGGTGGTTTGAGAGGAGTTGCGATGACAAGAAACAGGACTGACGGACGGACAGACTGACGGACGGACGGACTGACGGACGGACGGGTCAAAAACATTATACCCTCCGCAACCCGTTGCGTGGGGTATAATAAATAATGAATGTTAATGTATTGTATAAAAATAAAGTTCGCCTAAATCAAAATCAGGTGTTCCGGAATGGTGAGATGTTCCTTCTCCACTAGTGACTTCCGTCGTGTTCATTATTGCAAATTGAAACATCTTACCGCAATTTATTCATGAAACTAAAAACAGTAATGAATTTCAGGTGTCTTTATGAATACAAAACGCATCTTTGATTAGCTTTAATGACATTTCATTGAAATGCATAATGGAAATGAGTTACAAAACAAAAATGTTATTGAAAAACTACAAAATTTTGTTCTTTAAACAAAGATTTCTTTACAGTTTAAAATACTAACAAAACATTCAAAATAGTATATTTGCTATTTCCTCCAAGCTATGATGAAAACAATTCCAGATATCAAACCTCCGATACCACCCACGATACATAAACCGAAAGAGTAATGAAACTTGGTCGAATCCAGCTTAACTCCGCCGAAAAGTTGCATTGTTGCAAAGACGCATAATCCAATCAATGTAAGTCCTCCTGAAAAAAAAACAATATTATATTTGTTATAACTACAGAATTGTCATCAAAATGCCGAGAGAGTGAATATTATTTTATAATTGTTAAAATAGCATTGTGTTCTTGTGTTTCATTTTCGTATTACGAAGGTAAGGATTCGCCGTTTCAGAATCTAATGCATTCTGGGTAATATTCATTAAAATGTACACCAAAACGATATGATTGGTTAAAAACGTCCTGAATAATGGAAATTCAACCAATGAAGTGACGTAATTTTCATTTTAGGGTACGAACAGTCCTATAGATTCTGAAACGGTGAATTGCCTTCTTCGCTACCGTACTTGAAATGTTGTTTTTTTTCGGATACAGATATTATAATGTAGATGTTTATGACTTGGATAAATAGACAAGAGATGAATAGGTTTCTGTGGATTTTAATCAATCGACTGTGTTCCCTTATGCAACCTATCAATGACATTAACGGTACCAGTTTACTGCATTGGATGTGCATTTCGACAATAAATGTATCTTCAGTAATGCTCGAGTTACAAATATGTGAAAATCCAACTCATTTATTATTCCAACTGTTGAAGAGCTGATAAACCAAAAAGGACCAAAAACCCCATATAAGGAATCAGAGCTATGCACGAAAGAGATATATACATTCTTTGATTTTAAATTATTTCGAAACTTTATATCAGAAAATTTAGATAAAACACTATCCATATGTTCATGCCAGTATCCTAGTTCTGGATACCTGGCTAAAGGTACCTTCGGTGACGTATTTTCATGCCAGTATCCTAGTTCTGGATACCTGGCTAAAGGTACCCTTGGTGACGTATTTTCATGCCAGTACCGTTGTACTGACTACCTGGCTTAAACTACCCTCTGTGACGTATGTTCATGCCAATACCGTTGTACTGACTACCTGGCTAATGCTACCCTCAGTGCCGTATTTTCATGCCAGTACCGTTGTACTGACTACCTGGCTAATGCTACCCTCGGTGACGTATTTTCATGCCAGTACCGTTGTACTGACTACCTGGCTAATGCTACCCTCGGTGACGTATTTTCCAGCCAGTATCGTAGTACTGAATACCTGGCTTAAGCTACCATCGGTGACGTATTTTCATGCCAATACCGTTGTACTGACTACCTGGCTAATGATACCCTCGGTGACGTATTTTCATGCCAGTACCGTTGTACTGACTACCTGGCTAATGCTACCCTCGGTGACGTATTTTCATGCCAATACCGTTGTACTGACTACCTGGCTAATGCTACCCTCGGTGACGTATTTTCATGCCAATACCGTTGTACTGACTACCGGGCTAATGCTCCCCTCGGTGACGTATTTTCATGCCAATACCGTTGTACTGAATACCTGGCTAATGCTACCCTCGGTGACGTATTTTCATGCCAATACCGTTGTACTGACTACCTGGCTAATGCTACCCTCGGTGACGTATTTTCATGCCAATACCGTTGTACTGACTACCTGGCTAATGCTACCTTCGGTGATGTATTTTCATGCCAATACCGTTGTACTGACTACCTGGCTAATGCGACCCTAGTGACGTATGTTCCAGCCAGTATCGTAGTACTGAATACCTGGCTTAAACTACCATCGGTGACGTATTTTCATGCCAATACCGTTGTACTGACTACCTGGCTAATGCTACCCTCGGTGACGTATTTTTATGCCAGTACCGTTGTACTGACTACCTGGCTAATGCTACCCTCGGTGACGTATTTTCATGCCAATACCGTTGTACTGAATACCTGGCTAATGCTACCCTCGGTGACGTATTTTCATGCCAGTACCGTTGTACTGACTACCTGGCTAATGCTACCCTCAGTGACGTATTTTCATGCCAGTATCGTAGTACTGACTACCTGGCTAATGCTACCCTCGGTGACGTATTTTCCAGCCAGTATCGTAGTACTGAATACCTGGCTTAAACTACCCTCGGTGACGTATTTTCCAGCCAGTATCATTTTACTGACTACCTGGCTTAAACTACCCTCGGTGACGTATGTTCATGCCAATACCGTTGTACTGACTACCTGGCTTAAACTACCCTCGGTGACGTATTTTCATGCCAATACCGTTGTACTGAATACCTGGCTAATGCTACCCTCGGTGACGTATTTTCATGCCAATACCGTTGTACTGACTACCTGGCTAATGATACCCTCGGTGACGTATTTTCATGCCAATACCGTTGTACTGACTACCTGGCTAATGCTACCCTCGGTGATGTATTTTCATGCCAATACCGTTGTACTGACTACCGGGCTAATGCTACCCTCGGTGACTTACAGTCCACCAGCAGAGACATCGACACGGTGATGGTTATAACATTAACGTTTTTGCAAAAAGTACAACTCCATATGTGTGTAATGTATGTAATATTCAAGTTTTTAAAATATTTTAATATCTTTTACTTTTCTGGTAAGCTAAAAAAATTTGATATCAATTGATTTTTTGTTGTTGTTGATTTTGTTGTATATTTATTACTTTCAACTTATCTTGCTTTGCATGGGCAGCTGCCCATTTTGTCCAGTTTAGAACCAGTTTAAAATTGACAAAGGGAAACTACTTGTGTTAAACGTGTGTAACAATATAGTCAAATCGGTAATTGGCAAATATACTATTGATTATGTCTATGTCATTTAAACTCTGGTGGATATAGTTGTTTCATTGGCAATTATTTCACATCTCAATTTTTTTTAATTGAATTATACATGTTATAACTACAAACAGAAATTAATCCACTTTAGATGGAGTGACCCTGCCTAACTGCATCAAATTAATTTTATCCTGCATGACTACATATGCAATTATGTCCTTACTCAATAAGTATAGATTTTGTCTTGAAAGTCGTTTTTTTAAACAGAGACAGGCACAAACAACACCTACGATATTATAGTTCTTGGAAAATAATGCGAAGGACACATAAATATATTTATATACCTGCCATCAGATTGACCAAGCCTGCAACAAAATTCAGTATTCCCTTTTCCTTCAGTACAACTATTTTTAGGACAGCACTAGTCAAAGCTGCTATAAATGACACAAGGGCAAGGCATTCCAGAGCTCTAGCGGCTTTGAAATTGTCGTTGAGTAATGAACCAGAAAAATCTGTAATTGAATCATAACAAATCAAATCATTTATTGGTACTATATCCAAATGCATAATCGGAACCAAGACATACAAACTTAAATATTTACAGACATCCCCAATAGATCCATCTTAGTACTGTAAATAGGAATATCCATGAAACAAACAAAGTACAATAATTGCATTACATGTATGTCTCTTTAGAATCCATAATTTTGATTGGCTTATATGAAGATGTCGAATTCAAAGTATATACAATGCAGTTCGTAAAATATTTAGCAAATTTCAATCATTTGTATTATAGGATGGTAATTTATGGTTATATATTTATATCAATTATTCATATTTCAAGATATATTGTCATAATTTTTTTTTTTATTAGTACACTTTTATAAAAGCTTGCACGAAATACACAAATAATTCGAAAAAATAGTGTTAATTATTCTTACGCAGAGATTGTAATTCTATTATCTGGGGTTGCTTTCATATGGCATGGGTTGTTTTCATACGAAATGAAAGCCTATGACGGAATCAAATAATTTGTCTTTCGGCCAATAACAGATCAGCATTGTATGAATTGATCTCCTGTTGGTAATATAAGTATATCAATATGATAATATCCAATTAAAAATAATTTCTGTAACGTCATACATAAATGTAATTATTTTTCTTCATCAGACAAGTTTGATGCTAGGATTATAATTTTGTGAAAATTGGTCCTAATTGACACAGGAATAACTAAGGGGTGTCACGTCGGTGCTCATTTCCCAAATCCTGCGTTTTGTAATTTCTTCCGACTGCCTACTTTTTTCTCTCTTTTTGCCAGATCCCATATTTTTAATCCAAATATCCCACAACCCCTATATCTCACATCCCACTTTTTTACCCCTAACATCCCAAAAGCGTGTCATTCTCTTCAAAACTAGTTACACCGATTTGTGCATAGCCAATAAAATCGCCAAACCTCGAGTTTTTAAATTTGAAAATTTAACGGTCTCGAGTGTAGAAATGTCGTATCACACTCAATGTAGTGGTTGAATCTATATTTATCGTGTCAGAATAACTATTACAAAAAACTACATAAATCTCCCTCGGGTCTGTAAACCACAATGTAAATCCGACAACAATTCATTTACATGTACGTATATAGGTTAATCAAAAAGATTGGTGTAACACAGTTTGTACTTCAGCAAATGATGCAAAATAGTGCAAAATTCGAATAATTACAAAAAGGTTTGTGAAATAACGTGGTGTTTGTAAACTTCCTTAAATATAACATATTCTTAGAAAAGTTATGTAAGGGAACGACTATGTGATTTTCAGGGTGTGGGATTTTGAATATATATAAATTATATATATATATGTGCTGGCCTGGTAAGAACTGTACAAAACTGAATCTTTCCCGAGGCGAGATGAAAATTCATATTCTGACGCGAAAAAGGCAGATTGTTATTACGTACAAAGTGAAAATAAATGTTCCGCGCGAAATATATAAGCCCGCATCGAAACAGGTGAAAATGTATGGGTTAATTGTAGTTGTATGTTAGTTTTTTTTTTTTTTTTTTTTTTTTTATTTCATTAAAGTTAAATATTGTTTTCCCAAGAAAAGAAAACATGCCCCTAAATTTTTTTTTAAATTAAGAAAACAAAAGATTAACATCAATACCTTCATTATCAATACATATTTCTGGTACTCCCTTTTGTGCTTGACCACATGTCTTCCATAATCCAAAGTGACCGGTATCTTCTGGTTTGTACCAATAAGTAGTAGAAAATCCTATTACATGGAGAATTAATGATAAAGCACTTATTATTATACCCCCAATCACCATCCGTGGAACGTCTGCTAAAAGACCCGCCATTCTCCTGGGGTTTGCTAGATTTGTGTTAATTATTGGGTTTACTGGCCTTTTTATTAAGATCATACATGAGTTGACCCCGACAATTGCAGTTTTCAGAAATTGAAAAATTTGCTAGATTTATCAATATCCTTTAAAACTTGAAAGTACGCGGCTTAAAATGATGACAGTTTCCTGAGAAACGACTGACACAATCATGTGACCTTTTCAAAATGTGTTTGTTATTAAAGTATCACAGGAGTGTCTGTGTATTTTAAGGCTCTATAATGACTTGATATCAAAATTTAACGATAAAAGTTTGAAAATGAATGAATACTACAGATTTGATAGACAATGGTATTATACTCGGCATAATTATGTTTTTCCTAACAGGATTTAACCAGTTGTTTTCAGAAAACAGTTTAGATGACACACCCCTTTCGTTATCAACAAATCTTGAGTTTAAATTCTTATACAACTTCAATCTTTTAGGAAATTAAACTATGGCGTATAAAACGTTGCAATATTCACAAAAAAAATAAAATATATGTTCATAAAGTTAAATAATTGTTCGTAAAAACGAATATATGTTCGTAAAAACGAATATATGTTCATAAAACAAAATATATATTCAATAATTCTAAATATGTGTTCATAAAATAAAATATATATGCATAAAACATAAATAATTCTTCATAAAATAAATATTCGTTCTTAAAATAATGTATATATGTTCATAAAAACAAATAATTGTTCATAAAAGTAAAATAATTGTTCATAAAGTAAAATAATTGCTCATAAAAGTAAAATAATTGTTCATAAAAGTAAAATATATGTTCTTAACAGTAAAATAATTGTTCATAAAAGTAAAATATATGTTCTTAACAGTAAAATAATTGTTCATAAAAATAAAATAATTGTTCATAAAAGTAAAATAATTGTTCATAAAAGTTGAATATAAATTATATTCATAAAAAGTGCAATATATATTAATAAACACAAAATTTTCATAATATATATATATATATATATATATATATATATATATATATATATATGTGTTCATAAAATGAAATATATGTTCTTAAAAATTTATAAATACGTTCGATAATTTGCATCATGGGATACCTCGTTGCTTTTGAAATAGTGCATTTGATTGGGAATGCTCTGAAACCGGACCAGGCGGGACTCCGAAACCCGGACTCGATGCCGGACCAGGACTGAGAAAATTATGGGGAAAAAGTGTCTAAATTTACTAGCATTAGGTTCTCCTTTCTGTGTACCTTACTGAGGGGTAGGAAGTTATTTTTTGGGAGCACTGATATTGGATGTATGTTATATATATAGATACAAATCTTAATTTTATTTATGGTAAATTGAAGATTGTCAAGATTGTATTCTTTCTTTCTTTCTTTCTACAGGAATGAATCGCCGTTCTATATCGGCGCACTCCTACATAGTAGGATGGCTAATGCGCTTTGTACAAATATACAGCCATGATCGCCGTTCTATATCGGCGCACTCCTACATAGTAGGATGGCTAATGCACTAAAAACTTGCATCAACACACACAAAAAAAACGTGCCACTAATCTACGAATTCATACATATATGTATAACAGTAACGGTAAAAGCGTGCTATACAAATACTGTGTATACATTGTCCATTATGTTTGAAGACGGATGATAATTTATGCCGTGTAATGATCATCATTGCTCTATGCCTTAAATACTTTTTTCTATTATATGCTAGCTGTGTGGATAAATATATATACATGTCAAGTCTAAATTGAAAACAACGTTCAAACATATGATTGCGTTGGATAAAAACCGCAATTTTTATACGTGTGCATGCAAAACAAATTTCTTGGTAGAGGGGTCTAAATACAGCACAAACAACACTTTCCAAAAGACCAAATGAGTGAAAAAGTATATTTTAACAAAACGCATTTGATATTTAAATAAAGTGCCTAGAAAATCTATAAAGTGCCTTGAAAATCAACCTAACAATGTTAGAGTAGATCTGATTCTTTACTTCCTCCCCGACCGGGAATGAAACCTGTACTTTTCACTTCATACTTCTACGACAACACCGCCTAGCATTGCGCAGAAGCCTTATCCCATCCCCTAACTATAGCTGATAAAAATCAGCTTTCGTTTCGGGAGGTGTTACCTTCTCGTAGGAATTATATATATATATAAATGAGCATGAGTTCGAATCCCGGCGAGGGAAGAACAAAAAGTTGCTTCCGCAAATTTGCAGATTTAACATTGTTGTGCTGTTATATATATATATATATATATAGTGTCTAAAGATAGCAACAATCAACATTCAATCTATCTAGGCGTGGATCAGTTTGAAAATAAACTGATGCAGTTACTAAATTGAATTATATAAATGCCTAAGAATGTAATTTTAACACACTAATGAGTGTTATGAAAATAGTTGTTATATTTTATATATTCACGCAATATTTTGCTAAACAAATTAGCTTCACCAGGCGCGTGCAGCCATCCAGGTAAAAATCGGATGCTGTAAAGATATTTTTGCAGCTTATTGTACATGTCTTTTAAATATATTTTTGCAGCTTATTGTACATAGCGATTATTAAATCAAAACAAATAATTGTGTTAAATAAATAGTAAGAAGTTCAAGATTTATTCCTTTGGTTTTTGATAAAACTGTTTTTCATCTCTCTCATTCAGTCCACCAGGTTCAAGATTACGTAGCTGATGCATCCAAAATCTCTCTCTCTCTGTTTTCTAGTTTGTGTGTCCCAATTTTGGTTACATTGAAAAATATAGTGCACACAGACCCAGTGGAGTGGCAAGTTAATGTTTGAGTATTCAGTATTTGTTGGCAAGTCATACATCGTCTGTTACCACACGACTTGCACCATATAGCAGTTGAACAGCTTTTATTAGAGGAGACATCAGCTTTCACAAATGAGTCTTTCAGACTTGCTGGTCTCCGAAAAGATAAGACAGGAGGTTTGGGAAAGATCTTGGATAATTTTGGGTGCTTGGCAATAATTTGCCAATTGGCACGGATCAAACGTGAAAGGTTAGTAAAGGCGGGATTGTATGTTACAACAAATGGAACTATTTCTCTGCGCCTCATCTGTTTGTACTGTAATAGGTCATTGCGGCTGTTATTGTTAGCACGCGCAAACCCCTTATCTATGTCTCGTTTCTTATAATCTCGTTTGGTCAAAAATCCGCGATGTTCCTGTAACCGTTTAGTGACAGCCTCCTCAGAGGAGCAAATCAGCTTTACACTTAGAGCTTGACTGTACGGGATACTTTTTGTGCAGTGTTTGGGGTGACAGCTTTGGGGAGAAATGACGGTCACATAGATGAGGATACAATCGGATATTTAAAACCAGAGAACCCCAAGCCTGGTCGATTGTATCTTCTTCCCAAAATACACAAGGTTAACAACCCTGGTAGACCCATTGTATTCGCAAACGGCCACCCGACTGAGAAAATCTCGGAATTCGTAGACTTTCATTTAAGATCTCATGTAGAAAATCTTCCTTCTCACATTCAAGACACCACAGATTACCTTCGTAAAATGGAACCCATGAACCCTCTTCCTCCGGAAACTCTCCTTGTCACTTTAGATATCACCTCATTGTATACCAACATACCTCATGATGACGGAATACAATCATGTAAGGAAATATGGGACTCGCGCAACACTTTAAAACCACCTACCGAATGTTTAGTCCAGCTGCTTACTCTGGTTCTGAAATGCAACATTTTCACCTTTAATGGTGAACATTACCTTCAGATAAACAGAAGAGCGATGGGGACGAAAATGGCACCGTCTTACGCCAATATTTTCATGGGCAAATTAGAGAAACAAACCATTTCAACATCTTTATCCAAACCTGTCTTGGTTCCGTTTCATCGATGATGTTGACATTAAATGGATTGAATCCCAACAAAAACTGGATGATTTTATCAGACATGCAATCAACGCCCACCAGTCAAGGAGTGACTACACCTGCAAGCCCGACCTCCCCGTAAGGACATTTTGCAGTTTTTGGTTATTATCTTGAATATTAATTAATAGATAGAGATAAACTGTAAGCAGCAAAATTGTTCAGCAAAGTAAGATCTACAAATAAGTCAAACATGATCAAAATTGTCAATTGACCCCTTCAGGAGTTATTGCCCTTTAAAGTCAATTTTTCACAATTTTTCGTAAATTTTTTAATCTTTTACAAAAATCTTCTCCTCTGAAACTACTGACCAAATTAAACCAAACTTGGCCTAAATCATCCTTAGGGTATTTAGATTAAAAAAAATGTATCCGATGACCCCGCTTATTAAACAAGATTGCCGCCATGGCTAAAAATAGAACGGGGGGGGGGGGGGGGGGGGGGTAAAATGCAGTTTGGCTTATATCTCTGAAACTAAAGCAAAAAAGAGCAAATCTGACATGGTGTAAAAATGTTCATTAGGTCAAGATCTATCTGCCCTGAAATTATCAGACGAATCAGACAACCTGTGGTTGGGTTGCTGCCCCTGAATTGGTAATTTTAAGGAAATTTTGCAGTTTTTGGTTATCATCTTGAATATTATAATAGATAGAGATAAACTGTGAACAGCAAAAATGTTCAGCAAAGTAAGATCTACAAATAAGTCAACATGATCAAAATTGTCAATTGACCCCTTAAGGAGTAATTGCCCTTTATAGTCAATGTTTTTTTCGTAAATTTTTGTAATCTTTTACAAAAATCTTCTCCACTTAATCTACTGGGCCAAATAGAATTAAACTTATTCACAATTTTCAATCGGATATCTTGATTGAAAAATGTATATCCGATGACCCTGCCATCCAATCAACATGGCCACCATGGCTAAAAATAGAACATAGGGGTTAGCTATAGAAGTCTAAGGGAAAATTGTAAAAAAAACAATTTCAAATTGTCACAACTTGAAAACTGATTTAAATAATGATAAGGGGTCTTCAATAACTATTGTAAGACTACAATGGGATGACCTGCTTTTAATTTAACTACTTGGCCAAATTAAA